CAGAACTCAAATGTCTCATGTCTTCTCTAATTTCTTCAAATACTACTCACCAAAACCTCTATTTTGGAGCGCAAATCATGCAGGAATTCATCTTCCCCCATTATCGATAGCTTAGTCTAAGGACAAGGCTTCAAAAAATGACCGAAATATCCCGTAGATCGATCAGCAAGTTCAGACAAATCACAAATCAAAAGGTTTTAAGACAATATTTAGTCTAATTCCCCAAGCCGCTACGAAAAACATACCCGTCATAACAACGCAAGGAAGGGAGAAAACGTCGGCCATATCTCCTTCTTTCCTTCGTTGTTTTGGTAGCCATTTTGTAAATTAACCGCGCCTTTTCATGTGTAAATACTCTGTTCAGAAGCGGCGTAGGCGACTAAATAGTCTTTAATTTACATTAGGAAAGTTACGAAATCGGAAGTTTTATATTCCGCTTCGCAAATCAAAATTTAAATCTTACTAAATAGCTATAACAGCTGCAACAATTTCCCTTCTTTTCTCTATTGGATATATAGGTTCAAACCATGTCTGATTTATTAAACGACCGTAAACAGTTTCTAAATCCGCAGAACAAAGGTTATTTAACGCATTATAATCGACAGGTTCTTTGCATCTTACCGATGGCAGCATGTTCTGAAGGTTATGAGGGAAACCGCAGGCATAAAGTATCGCGTGAACGAAATGATACGAATTTCTGGTAAGGTAATCTTTAGCAGGATAATGGTTGTCTTCGTTCCAGTTTCCGTAAAAAGTTCTTTTTACAGGATAAGGGTTGTTAGCCTTAAGCCTAACCCCCATGCCTGGAGGGCATGAACTAGCCTCAGGAAGATTCTGAGAATCTTCTGGCCTCAGAAAATATCAAACGACCAGCTACTGAGACAAACCAAGCAGGAGGATATTCGTACACTTGTCACCAGGAGAAGATGGAGGTGGATCGGACTTGTGATGAGGAAGCCCAGTAACAACATAACCAGAATTGCAATGCGCTGGACACCTGAAGGCAAACGAAGCAGAGGGCGACCAAAAACAACCTGACGCAGGGCTGTAGAGAAGGGACTAAGGGAGCTCAATTACAGCTGGAGTACCATTGAAAAACTAGCTAAGGATAGGCAGGGTTGAACGGATTTCGTTGCTGCCCTATGTGCCACACAGGCATGATGGGAAGTAAGTAATCTTTAGTGGCTCTGGAGGAGTAATCTGAAGGCTTTAGGCTTGAAAAACGAGTATGCATCCAATGACCAAATCATCCGCGCTTGAAATGGGTTGTTTCGCTCCACTGTTTTGAGAACAAGGCACGTTTTACAAGCAGGGGAGGGCGGGGGGAACTGAGAAACGACGATCACACACCTTGCAAAGCAGGCTTGTCAACGGGCTGCCTAAACCAGCCGGGCCGCTCAAATCCCTAAAAGTGACTCCTACAGTTGTTTTTTGAATAGCCGTTTAAAAATTTTGTTATAGTAAAACTGTATATCACGGATATGCTCTTTTTTTTTTGCCTGTGTTATGATTTTCCTTTGGCGAAGGCCGTTCGAGGATGCGAAGAAATCCGAGCTCAAGTGGAAAACGCCTTTATCGGGAGTGTAAGCTTTCAGTGATAAAAATCGTACAAACACGTCCACGAATTTTGCTTGCGTCTCTTTAAGTAAACAATTAGTCGATGAAAGTAGTTTTAACTTGTCAAACCCTTCATCTACCTCGTCTATTTGTTTAATTTTGGGAAAGATTCAGCTGCCGCCATTCTTCCTGTCCTTTTCCATCGAAAGTTTCCGTCACATTGTCGAATGAACCATATGGCTCAAAGTCAGCGATGAATTTAACGAGTATTGATCTCGGCCTGATGTTCGATACAAAACGGAAAGCATATTCGGATCCTTAAAAAAATAACCAGCCAGTCAAAGTTCCTCAATTTCCTAAGTTAACCGCCATGCTTTTCCTTGTAAACATCTAATGCTTGTCTGCAATGGAGCTATCCGTTAAGAATTGCTGGTGAGGTTGCTTTGAAAGTTGTGAGAACATCGTTTTCATTTAATTTAAGAGAATGTCTTGGAAGTAGCTTCCCTCTTCTGATATTTTACATATGTTCCACTTGTATGAGATTAGGTTTTCCACTAAACTTCCGGTAACTCCGATGGACACGAATGGACACTCTTGGACTCGGATGGACTCCAAAGGATTACATGCGATAGATAGATCCAGATGGATACCATTGGACAACATTTCTGCTATCCCTGATGTTCATCTGTCTTCTGGTACTTTTTTGCGTCATGACTTCCAGTTATCTTACTTCTATTGGAAGGTGCCACAAGTATAATTGTGCCTAATCCATCGGAAAACCACGTTTTCCATCATATAAGACATTTATGTGCTCACTTGTGGTCATTCGTGCGTACTTTTAGACACGACCACGATTTATGGTTTGCTCTCCACAATTTCAAATTTCATTGTAGTTAAAGGTTTTGCCAAGTTTAAGCGTTTTCAGCACTTTCTGCAAATTTTTTACGCGGACTTCATTAAAGCTCCATGATTTCTGCAGAGACAATAGAAACTAATTTAGAAAAAGGAAAATAGTGTACCGCAAGTAAAAAAAAAAAACATCTGAAGGGCGTTTGGTGTTGTTTCCTTTCGATGTTGTTGTCTTTCGATTTTGCTGCTTTTGTCGTAGTGCGTTCTAATAATGTTATTTAAGAATTCAGTGTTCTCACTATGGAACTAAATTTCTTCGGTAAAATTCCCTTAAATGAACTTCATTTCCCTGGAAAAGTTCTGGAAATATCAAAATTGCTTCTTAGGCCTGCAAACGTTAAAAACTCTCCGTACAGATTATAAGGTCACGATCGCTACACCTATTCTGGCCACAAAATCCGCGTTTTACCCCTTTAAGTTGAAGTATTCTTCAGTAACTCTTTATAGCTGATTACTACGAAGATCACTTACACTTTGTCTTAACCTGCAGGTCACATATATGATTTTCGA